GAAAGGTTCTGGAAACAGTTGTGGTCTGTACCCGGCAACTGTAACCTTGAGGCACCATGGGTCCGTGATTATGACCATGCAATGCATGAGAAGTTAACTAGGTCGTTTGTCTGTTACATCTCACCAGATTGCCTGAAAAGTGTTATAAAAAGTCCAAATCAAATACAGCTCCAGGGCCTGATGGCATTCGAAATCGGTATTGGAAACTGTTCCCCTGTGTCCAAACACCATTACTACACTGTTTCAATTCTCTTGTGGACACAGGTGATGTTCCTCCATGGTTCTGCAAAGGTCGCACAATACTTCTCCCCAAGAAAGGAGACTTGACTGATCCCAAAAACTTCCGCCCTATCACATGTTTGAATACACAATACAAAATATTCACAGGGTGTTTGACAAACCTCGTGTCATCTTACTGCTCTTCCAATGATATAATTTACAGAGAGCAGAAGGGAGCAAGAAAGGGATGTTGGGGGTGCAAGGATCAACTTCTTGTACAGAAAATGATTTTGGAAGAGGCTAAAACATATCACCGCAACCTCTCCATGTGCTGGATTGACTACAAAAAAGCATACGACTCTGTCCCTCACGAATGGATTCTGAAGTCTCTTCATTGTATTGACCTCCCTCAGCGACTACTTGATTTACTCAAGTCTTTAATGAGTTGCTGGTCGACTCAACTTGAGATGTACTCGCTGGGGCAGGTGCAGACTTCGGAATCTATTCCAATCAGAAGGGGAATATTTCAGGGGGATTCCTTTAGTCCTTTGCTTTTTTGTTTGTCTTTAAATCCTTTGAGCTTTCTGCTCAATAAAGAGGAGGGTTACCATCCCGGACCTCCTCAGCACAGATCCCCAACACCTCTTACTCATCTCCTTTACATGGATGATATCGAGCTCCTTGCCAAAGGAGATACCAATTTGAAAGAGCAGGTTCTCCTTGTCGAGTCCTTTTCGAATGATATTGGCATGACATTTGGACTCGACAAATGTAATACTCTTCATTTGAAACGAGGCAAGGTAACTAATGATGGATCGGTCAAGTTACAAGGGGGAGGAGTTATTGAGCATCTTGTGGACGATCAGGCCTACACCTATCTTGGAATGCAAGTTCGAGATAAGATCCAGAATGCCCAGATTCAAGACAAACTGCGGGCCGAGTACAAATCTCGTTTAAAAAAAATCTGGAGCTCAGAGCTAAATGCTCGAAACAAGGTCAAAGCCACCAATACTTTTGCTGTGCCAGTCCTCTCCTATTCCTTTGGAGTAGTTGATTGGACAAAACAAGACATCCAGAGTCTTGACCGTCTGACCAGAAGGATCATGTCTGATAACAGAGCCCACCACCCTCGTTCCTCTCTTAATCGTTTATACATGCCAATCACTTCTGGAGGTCGGGGTTTGATTAATGTGGAGGCACTTCATGATAGAATTTTATTGTGTACTTTTGCACATATTTATTTATCGGATGATCCTCTAGTGATGCATGTGAAGACTCATGATGAAAGCAAGGAATTCCACAGCTATTTTAAGCGTGCCAAGGTTGTTGGACAGAATCTGAAATTTGAGGTTGACTTTGCTGATGGCGATGTACTGCTGGACGGTACAGCGATGGGAGTAAACCAGGTAAAGTCCTTCACCAAGTCTGCCCAGAGTCGGTCTTTTGTGGAGAAGCTTTCTGAGAAGCCATTGCATCGTGTGTACATGCAGTGTGTTGAACAGAATAACAATCCCTCCGACTCCTTCGCCTGGATGAAGTCGGCTGGTCTTAAATGTGAAACCGAGGGCTTTCTTTTTGCTGCTCAGGACCAGTCACTTCCCACTCGCAATCACCTAAATGTGATTCTTAAAGAGAATATTAACATGAAATGTCAACTTTGCAATGAATTCACAGAGACTGTCCAACACCTTGTCAGTGGATGCCCTTCCTTGGCACAAACAGCATATCTTAAACGACATGATGGCATGGCTCGCTGCTTTTACTACCGTCTCCGACATGCCTGTGGCTTTGACTCTGAGGTCCATCCATGGTACGACCCTGAACATGTCCAGGGCGTCATGGAAAATGATGTTTTCAAACTTCTGTGGAATAGGCCCATATACAGCCTCAGAAGAATTCCTGCCAACAAACCTGATCTTGTCCTTTTTGATAAAGCCAATGAATTTATTTATATCATAGAATTTTCTGTCCTTTTGAGAGGAATGTGATTGACAAGATCAAGGAAAAGCATGATAAATATGCGGACCTCGCCTTTGAAATGTCTCGCTTGCATCCCAAGTACACTGTCGTCAGGCTTCCCATTGTTCTCGGTGCCCTTGGTTTGGTACCTCCTGATCTCTTGGCGCAAATCAGGAGAGTGCCCGGGTTCTCTACCGGGAGTACAGCCCTTCTGACACTCTGGGTAATGCAGAAGGCTGCAGTGTTGGGGAGCCTTCATATTCTCCGGAAAGTTCTTGGTGGGTTTGACTAGGCAGCGTTTCCTGGGAGAAGTCCCATTCGCTGTCTGGGCTGCGTGTAGAGGGGGCAAGGGCCCTGAGCTGATGATGAGCCTTACCAGCCTGACTGTGCCAGGATCACCCGAACCCTCTCTGCTGCATACAATCTTTAATCTGTAAAACATAATAATAATAATAATAATAATGTCATTGAATTGACAAGATCAAGGAAAAGCATGATAAATATGCGGACCTCGCCTTTGAAATGTCTCGCTTGCATCCCAAGTACACTGTCGCCAGGCTTCCCATTGTTCTCGGTGCCCTTGGTTTGGTACCTCCTGATCTCTTGGCGCAGATCAGGAGAGTGCCCGGTTCTCCACCGGGAGTACAGCCCTTCTGACACTCTGGGTATGCAGAAGGCTGCAGTGTTGGGGAGCCTTCATATTCTCCGGAAAGTTCTTGGTGGGTTTGACTAGGCAGCGTTTCCTGGGAGAAGTCCCATCTAAGCTGTCTGGGCTGGTGTGTAGAGGGCAAGGGCCCTGAGCTGATGATGAGCCTTACCAGCCTGACTGTGCCAGGATCACCCGAACCCTCTCTGCTGCATACAACTTCTCTTTAATCTGTAAAACATAATAATAATAATAATCATAATAATTGGCAAGATCAAGGAAAAGCATGATAAATATGCGGACCTCGCCTTTGAAATGTCTCTCGCTTGCATCCCAAGTACACTGTCGTCAGGCTTCCCATTGTTCTCGGTGCCCTTGGTTTGGTACCTCCTGATCTCTTGGCGCAAATCAGGAGAGTGCCCGGGTTCTCCACCGGGAGTACAGCCCTTCTGACACTCTGGGTAATGCAGAAGGCTGCAGTGTTGGGGAGCCTTCATATTCTCCGGAAAGTTCTTGGTGGGTTTGACTAGGCAGCGTTTCCTGGGAGAAGTCCCATTCGCTGTCTGGGCTGCGTGTAGAGGGGGCAAGGGCCCTGAGCTGATGATGAGCCTTACCAGCCTGACTGTGCCAGGATCACCCGAACCCTCTCTGCTGCATACAATCTTTAATCTGTAAAACATAATAATAATAATAATAATAATAATTGACAAGATCAAGGAAAAGCATGATAAATATGCGGACCTCGCCTTTGAAATGTCTCGCTTGCATCCCAAGTACACTGTCGTCAGGCTTCCCATTGTTCTCGGTGCCCTTGGTTTGGTACCTCCTGATCTCTTGGCGCAGATCAGGAGAGTGCCCGGGTTCTCGACTGGGAGTACAGCCCTTCTGACACTCTGGGTAATGCAGAAGGCTGCAGTGTTGGGGAGCCTTCATATTCTCCGGAAAGTTCTTGGTGGGTTCGACTAGGCAGCGTTTCCTGGGAGAAGTCCCATTCGCTGTCTGGGCTGCGTGTAGAGGGGGCAAGGGCCCTGAGCTGATGATGAGCCTTACCAGCCTGACTGTGCCAGGATCACCCGAACCGTCTCTGCTGCATACAATCTTTAATCTGTAAAACATAATAATAATAAATGCATATTTATATTGCGCCCCTTCCACACCCTAAGCCATGCTCAAAGCGCTACAGAATATTTACACTGGAGTATTTACAGATGAAGTTATTCATAATATACTGAGAAAAGGTGGGTTTTAAGTCTGGACTTACAAATGTCAATTGTGTCAGACCTTTTAAGGGCACATGTGAGAGAGTTCCAAAGTACAGGTGCAGAGTAAGAGAATGTACGGTGTCCAAAGGATTTAAGTTTGTAGGATGGGATGACCAGTCGATTTTGTCTGTTTGAGCGCAAGTTGCGTGCGGGGACATACGGATGTAGGAGTTCAGACAAGCAGGAGGGAGCCAGACCATGGAGGCACTTGTATGTCAGACAGAGGATCTTAAAGTCAATTCTGGCCCTAACTGGTAGCCAATACAGTTCTTTCAACACCGGTGTTATATGGGAACGTTTAGAAGTCTTGCTGATGATGCGGGCGGAAGCTGAAGCTTATCAAGGAGTTTACAGTTGTCAAGCCTAGATGTAACAAGAGCTCGAACAAGGGCTTGAGTTGCAGCAGTTGTCAGGTATTGCCGAATGTTACCAATGGATCTTAGGTGAAAGTAGCAGGTCCTGCTCAGACGGTTAACATGAGCATCCAGAGTCAAGGAAGAGTCGATGTGGATACCCAAATCCTTAACAACATCAGAGAATCTGACGTCAGCGTCTGCGACTGTAAGGAAGTCGGTTTTGACCTTGCTAAGTTTTTGCTTTGTACCAATGAGAACTGCTTCTGTTTTTGTGTCATTAAGTTTAAGCATGTTTCCTGTCATCCAGCACTTGATGCCCTGCGTACATTCAGCGATGCACTGAAGAGACGTGAACATAATGAGCAAAGAAGAATCGGATACGTCAGATCAATGTTTTTCTCAATTTGTGGTAAAATGTGATTTTTCAGATTCAGATTTGAAAGAGTGACAGTGCTTGAATATGTTTTCAAGAAATTTCTTTATGATCTCCTGTTTGGCAGATGTTTGACATTTACTTTATTATGCAGCTTCAGTCTTACCTTTGACAAAACTTTCCAGGTTATGCCATACCTGAAGACTCTGTTTGCACGTATTGTGCTGGTGGACTTCCCAGGCTACGGCTTCAGCGAGAAACCTGTGAGTTGCTAATTAGGATGTAAAATTATAGAAATGTACTACTGTGCTTTTACAGTGAGTGAGTGAGTGAGTTTAGTTTTACGCCGCACTCAGCAATATTCCAGCTATATGGCGGCGGACTGTAAATAATCGAGTCTGGACTAGACAATCCAGTGATCAACAGCATGGGCATCGATCTGCGCAATTGGGAACCGATGACGTGTGTCAACCAAGTCAACGAGCCTCTCCACCCTATCCTGTTTTTCGCCTCTTACGACAAGCATGGGTTACTGAAGACCAATTCTAACCCGGATCTTCACGAGTACTGTGCTTTTACAAGTCAGCATCATGTGATTGCCTATGCGTAGGGTTATACATCGCTTTTAGCAATATTCCAGCAATATCAAGGCGGTGGACACCAGAAATGGGCTTCACACGATGTACCTTTGAAGGGAATCGAACTTGGACAGTCTGGGAGCAGACTAAAAGAATAAACCACTGGGCTAACCCACATTCAAACACAGTCCTAAGCTGATACAGGCATCTACAAACTCTCAAGAGTTCATGTTTCAGAACATCGTGAAATTATTAACACAATATCCCAAAACCATTGTGTACACCAAATATTTCAATTTTTAATATTTTCTGTTATGATTTAAGAACCTGTAAATTTTGTTTCTTGAGTGCTGGTGTTATTTTTGGAATTTATTCGTGATAAAGCATTAATTTAATTGAAAATTTAATTTTTTGAACTTTTTATCAAAGTAATGAAAGTCAGAACTAGACATGCCATGATCAGGTCATTTTGTGGAGCATTTGAATTTCCTTATTTGTGTATCTACAGGAAGACTACAAGTATTCTGTATTTGATAATGCGGACGTGGTAGAAAACCTGGCAGAGTCCCTGTCAATATCCTCCACACACATCCTGGCACATGACATGGGAGACACAGTAACACTGGAGCTTGTTGCCAGGTGAATATTACATTATTATCACTGTCATGACCTAGGTAGTAGAAGGTGTTTGGTTCAATCCCTAGCCACATCCTGCCAAATGATATTCCAAGATGGTACTTGTTGATGATTACTCGGCAGTAACAAGACAAATCAAAGACAGGTCATCTCAGAGGCAGTCAACGCATATGAGGGGTGGTGTGTGTGTGTGTGTGTGTGTGTGTATGTGTGTGTGTGTGTGTGTGTGTGTGTGTGTGTGTGTGTGTGTGTGTGTGTGTGTGTGTGTGTGTGTGTGTGTGTGTGTGTGTGTGTGTGTGTGTGTGTGTGTGTGTGTGTGTGTTTAATCCATGTGAAGATGCTGCATAGTACCAGCACTGTAATACTGTACTATTGCAAGCCTGAACTAATGCAAGCAACAACACGCACATGGTGGTGTGCTCTTGTGCAAACAGCTCAGGTCACAAATAATTTCAAATGAAGCAACGTTGGTCATGGAGAGTCCTTGGATGGGTGACTGTGTTTGGCAGCTTTACTCCTAGGAGGTTCTAGGAATTCAGTCCTGCCCACAAGGGAGCATACATTATACATGTGGTCTCACCCTAGGCAAGTGAGTTAGTTCAAAATGGCCTCTGTTCACAAAGCAGTGAATGGGTACCCAGTGGGATAAGTCATATGACTGTTAACCTTCTAGCGCATCACAAGTGGCTAGGGTTAACAGGGCTAATAATATCTGCGCTTCGTGAATAATTTACCCATGTAGGATCACTGAGCATGTTTGAGGTGGATATTAGGCGCTCTGCAGATGCGTTGTATGCATTGTCACACACGTTCATGTGCATCTCTGTGTAAGTGCAATGATTTTGATGTGATGTTGAGTGAGAGAGTGAGTGAGTGAGTAAATGTTCCTTTAAGCCGCTTCAGCACTATTGCAGCTGTTCGTGGCATGAGTATGTTGATAACATGTCATTATAACTCCCCATAATATCAATCACTGGTTGATATGCTGGCAGATTTAATTATTTACATGTATTATTTGGATATGGATGGGCTATTGCTGAAAGACGTGGTAATGAGCAAACAGAACGTTAGAGTGAATTATGGTTGTCGTAATATGAGAAGAAAGAGTGGGGAGAAAAGGAGGAGAAGATAGAGGGTGGAGAAAGGAGGGGGAGAAGATAGAGAGTGGAGAAAGGAGGGGGAGAAGATAGAGAGTGGAGAAAGGAGGGGGAGAAGATAGAGAAGGAGAAAGGAGGGGAGAAGATAGAGAGTGGAGGGGGGGCAGTGTGAGAAAAAGGTCGGGGGAGGAAGTATGAAGCAGAAGGAGTGCACAAAGACAGAGTGAAGAAATAAGAGATGGAGGATGAAGAAAGCGGGGAAATTTGAGAAACAAATGAGATAGGAGTATGAGACATATGTAACATGACCATGAGACAACATTGCCTATCTGCAGAACATTCTTCTCTGCAGACTCTGACATGGTTAATGTTTCACTGTGTGTGTGTTGGTGTTCAGGTTCAAGGAGAGATCAGGGAAGAAAGGGTTGGTCCTGCAGTCCATGTGTTTGCTCAATGCCGGTAAGAAGGGTTCATGTCAGGGTTGTGATTACTTCAAGGTAGAGTCAGGGTTCACACAAGCACACGCCTTTTGGAAAAGGGTTGGGGGTACATTTTGTGATTTTGCAATTAGTTCAATAATCTTATAGTCTTGTTGAAAATATATCCAGTCACTGAATTTTTGTACTAATATGTTTTCAATATTCCTTTACCTAATCACCTATTATATTTTTATATCTCTATCCTGTATATGATTGGGTGATTGGTAGTGATTTTTGTGCTTATCGTCATGAATTGAAAGAGTAAATGACTTTTATGGATGTCTATTTCTTTATTGTGAATATCAGGACGTTGCGGGGTGTATGCCTGGTCCTTCATCAAGTTCCTTATAACGTTGTGTTATTCACAATAAAGAAGTTGACATCCCTAAATCTTGCTCTTCTTATGCATTACACTTGTAAATACCCTTCAAAGATTTGTTATAAGCTGACTATAAAATATGATTTTTTTTAATGAGAACATTGTTTTATACCTTGTAGACATCGCCTTAACACCTAGTAAACTAATATGTTTAAGGTCGTTTTGGATTTGCATGTGAAGCAATTGCACAAAAGGAATACAAGTTATTTTGACATATAGTTAAATCTAAGGTATTAAGTATTTGCTGATATCAATGTGTTCATTAAAGTTAATTAATATTTTAATTCAAGTATTTGATTGTTATGTCAAAGCTAGACGATTGTCTGACATGTTGGCCTGCTCAATGTTAATGCTTCTTGTTTCAGGACTCTTCCCAGGGAAGTTTTTCCCAAGATTAGTACAACGGGTCTGTATGTGCCGATTGTCTTGGGGCAGTAGCTTCACATGTCACATGCTTTACACAATTCATATCTCAGTAGTAGTGTTCGTTATGATGCATACAATGCATATCTCAGTAGTAGTGTTCGTTATGATGCATACAATACATATCTCAGTTGTAGTGTTCGTTATGATGCATACAATACATATCTCAGTAGTAGTGTTCGTTATGATGCATACAAGTAGTGTTCGTTATGATACATATCTCAGTAGTAGTGTTCGTTATGCATATCTCAATATGCATACAATACATATCTCAATAGTAGTGTTCGTTATGATGCATACAATACATATCTCAGTAGTAGTGTTCGTTATGATGCATACAATTCATATCTCAGTAGTAGTGTTCGTTATGATGCATACAATACATATCTCAATAGTAGTGTTCGTTATGATGCATACAATGCATATCTCAGTAGTAGTGTTCGTTATGATGCATACAATGCATATCTCAGTAGTAGTGTTCGTTATGATGCATACAATGCATATCTCAATAGTAAGGTTGCAGGAGAATTCATGTCTTAATAGCTAGGTTGCAATAAAATACAAGACTCAACAGTAAGATTGTAACATGATGCATGTGTCAATATCAAGATTACATTATGACGCGTCTTATTATCAACATTGCAACATGATACATGTCTCATTATTAAAATTTCAATATGACACGTCTCATTATCAAGATTGCAATATAATTCAGGTTGCAACATGATACATGTCTCAATAGTAAGGTTGCAATATATTCCATATGTTGACAGTATGGTTGCAATATATTCCATATGTTGACAGTAAGGTTGCAATATATTCTATATGTTGACAGTAAGGCTGCAATATATTCCATATGTTGACAGTAAGGTTGCAATATATTCCATATGTTGACAGTAAGGTTGCAATACATTTCATATGTTGACAGTAAGGTTGCAATATATTCCATATGTTGACAGTAAGGTTGCAATACATTTCATATGTTAACAATAAGGGTTTGGTTTATTACTTTTCTTGATAGAAGGCCATGATAAGGAAACGAAAGATATCTCAAAGCAGTGAACCATATTTCTCTTCTCTTTCATATTCAAACCCCCATGCTGTCTGCCACATTGTTGTACAAAACACCTTAACTGTAAACCTACTTTTGAAACCTCTTCATTGAAAACACAATTGGTATTACTAGCTGTGTTCACATTATCAATGCTCATTGCTGTATAAGTGTTCATTGGCCAGTGATGTTCATCAGTTGTTTGCGATTGAATTTACTGAACTGAAACATTACTACATTTGTATTGAGATAATATAAAAATAACGTTTTCTCATTCAGTTTGGTAATTGAAACCAGTTCTGTATGTTTAGGAAAGGTATGACTTGTTTTATGATGTTTGCAGGTTTTCCTGATTCCGGTTCTAGGGAAAATCGCTGCAAGATTTACGTTTTTTGAGGGTTTCAGAAGAGGAGGGTAAGTCATTGAGTGAATATTGTGCTGTTGGTTCGTCAGCAACACTACATCAGCCTGATAACTTGATCTGCCTGAACCGTGAACAGCTTTCTCATACACCGTGGAGATTCCAGGTTTAGAATATTTCCCCATCAAGCATGATAGTACCATGGGAATTCCAGGTTCAGAATATTTCCCCATCAAGCATGGTAGTACCATGGGAATTCCAGGTTCAGAATATTTCCCCATCAAGCATGGTAGTATCATAGGAATTCCAGGTTTAGAATATTTCCCCATCAAGCATGGTAGTATCATGGGAGTTCCAGGTTTAGAATATTTCCCCATCAAGCATGATAGTACCATGGGGATTCCAGGTTCAGAATATTTCCCCATCAAGCATGGTTGTACCATGGGGATTCCAGGTTCAGAATATTTCCCCATCAAGAATGGTAGTATCATGGTAATTCAAGGTTTAGAATATTTCCCAATCAAGCATGATAGTACCATGGGGATTCAAGGTTTAGAATATTTCCCCATCAATCTGTGCTGGTCGTACCATGGGGATTCCAAATTAGAATAGGTCCTCATTTACTGATGCTGATCATAAAAGGCAACCAAATAGATCAGGTGGTGAGACTCATTGGCTCATCGATAGCATCTTTGTCTGCAAAATTGATCACAGAAATGTCTTTTTTGGACTCTGATATTTCTAGGCTGCCATCATATAGTTGGAATATTGCTTGTTATTGTGTAAATAACCATTTTAGATTTGGATCTGGATGTAAACAATTTGAATGTACACTGAGATTCTTTGTTAATCACACATGAGACAGGTTTGAGGTATAATGCCCAAAGTCAAATAAAAACAGAATTTATCGATACATTTTAATTCCTAGATTTGCAGAAGTATTTGGGACAAAGCCGACGTATGAAGATTTTGAGGATTTCTATGCCGCTATCAGATACAGAGATGGTAACCTTGCTCTGCCAGGGTATGTAGTATCCATGGAAACCCAGTGATGCCAACCGTGATATACTACTCAAATTGTTACAGGGATAAAGAGAAAGGTCATTCTATTAAATAATCCAGAGAACATATATTGTATATACCATCTAAATCCATCCCTATCAATATTTAAGTTGTATATTACGGTTTTTATTGTTATTGATACATTGTTGAACAAATCCTGCTACACGGTTGTAAATGATATTATGAATTCTTGGATTTCTTTCTCTGTCTGTGTCGGTGGAGTTCCATCTAGAATTAGATCTGCACTCATGATGCAGGCTACCACTTAAAAAGTACCACCAAGCAAAGCTACATGATAAGTTGTTGTTCACTGGTCACGGGGAAGGGGGGTGGGGATTTTAACTTCAACCCATGGGCCCCAAGGGACCAGTGAACAACGTATATACTTATCTTACCGAGCACCTCAAAGCTAATTTTGAACTGTTTGTAGCATTCGCAAAACATCGGTAATTTCCGTAGATCATACGTGACTCAATTATTCGAGATAAAGAATTACTAACACGAAGTACCAAATGAGTTCCCACAGTTCGGCATTCCCAGCGGGTATCATAGAAAATGTTACTCGTTTGTAAATGATAGAAGAGCTAGTCAGAAACGACAATATGTGTTAGGTAAGGTAAATATGATTTCCAATCCTGAAACTGTGTCAGTATCATATTATCAAGAGAAAATTATGTCAGAATACATAAATTATGCGTACTCTTTGAATTGTGTCTTAAACATATCCTCAATGTAAAATGAAACCGTGCGACCCCAGGCAACACAAAACCTCATCTTTCCAACTTGTTATTACCAAAATGACAGAAAAAAAGGTCACGTGAGCTCATAAACTTGCTCGCGGAATATGCATAATGGCGGAAGCTGAAATAGCAGAAACTGATTTCGCCATGAACATATAAATAATGATGATATTGCATTAATAATCGGGGTACATGTTTCTGATGACTTTATCTTGAACCCAGTCCGATTGACAGTTATTGCAATGTTCAAGTATTTTCCTTTACAGGGGGAGTCTGTATTGCGAGTCATCACCTTGCTTTTCAATATCTTTATTTCATTTAAACGGGGAAGATGGATGGAGATAACAGTATGGTTTTTTTTCAGCGTTCTTAACTTCATCAAGGAGAGACATGATAATGAAGACCGATGGGTTCGTGGTAGCCTGAAAACATCCCCCATTCCAGGTACTTATATTCCGTATTAATATAGATGTCAGGTACAAAATGTCAAGCAGGATTCTTTCAAAGAAAGGTTCATCAAAATGTATTCTGTTAGCCTTTTTTGAATCACTTGGGTCTTTTTTAATTCATAAAAAGACCATACTTTTTAAAGGATCTCAAGAAAAAGGTTTTAATTGACTGAAAAAACATGCATTTTTATTGCAAAGTGAAATGGTTCCTTCTATACTGACCCTATAAACATATTTAATGACTGAAATTACTTGAAGCAGACTTGATGGCAAGACAAAACTACATCGTTAGTTTAACACAGTACATAAAGACATGATGATGTTTCAGTGTTGATGGTGTATGGGCCTGCCGACACCGTCAATCCTTCCCCGACATTTCCAAATCAGTTCAGGTCAGATATGTAAACAATACTCTTTTGCTATCGTAATTTGTCAGAGTGGAAAGAGATTCATTTTCACAGAGCACAGAACTCCGTATGTGACATAATCCTATTTAGTAGAAAGCTTTGCGACCATAAAAGAAAAACAATATATTCCTCTTTGAACTGTTGACCATTGTGGCATCTATCAACCACTTGTATGTCTTGCTCATTTTTTAGATAATAATATGAATAAGCTGTAATATTAACTATTATATAACACTGTTCTTACCCAATCTCTACTGTGACCTTGGAATCACAATATATACGTCTCGCAATAAGATCAAGAGCAATATTTCTTTGCCTTATGTTCATCTGTCATGGTCACGAAAGATTAATATAGACATCTGGAAAAAAATGGGCATTCTATAAATTGTTCTAAATGGAAAGCTATTTTTGATGCCCTACTAATTCATTGTTATGTGTTGATTCCTAAGTTAAGGCTACAGGTTAACCTGGAACCAGTCCACACACTTTGAACAGGTACAATGGATTACACATGGAACATTTTTACACAAGAAATACCAACACTGCTACATAATAAATGATTTTATTTGTTCCAGGAAAATCGCTCCTCAACACAAGCTGATTGTCCTGGGCAAAAACATTGGCCATTTTCCACAGTGGGAGGACCCAGAAACTACTGGGAAAAGCTATGTAGAGTTTATAAAGGGGCTTAGGTCCAGCAAGTCAAAACAGTGAAGGAATAGTTCATGTGAAGTGATACACATAAGGAAGAGAGTTTTTTTAATGGATGTCAACTTCTTTATTATGAGGAACACAACGTTTCGGGGTATATCCTTACTCCTTTATCACCTCTCTTCCTTAATAGTTCATGATGTATTTGACAGATAATGAAACGATTCCCCAATTCTTACAAAATATGCCGAAATTGGATCTTTTAAAATTATTCACAATATCAACATGTGGAGTAGAAGATCTTATTTTAAAGAGATCAAGTTTACAGCTCTGTATGATTTCATATAATTCCCCTGGTTCCATAAGGCACCAGTAGCTCTGGGTTACTCAGCATTATAAGGTAATATTTTCCAAGTCCTATATAATGACACTTTTCATGCCACTTATGTAAACGATATATCATATTTCAAAGATACAAAACACTTTATGTTGTATTTTCTACAAAATATGTATAAGAACAAAAGCGGTTTTCTTTCATCCTGAGGGTACACTCATCGCAGACATGAGACCAATAACTGACATTATGGAATGAATATTGTTCTGCAGTGTTTGGCAATATCATTGCCAGAGCCGGGCATTTTCCTGTATGTGAATATATTGTAAGTGATTTTGTGGCGTGTGACTGGCTGAATTTTCCCATTAATTATAACACCCCTTTGGCCACTCTAGCTAACATTATTTCGCTGAATGATGTCACTGATTTTGTACTGTATTATTGTGTATTGATGATTAAATTAGTCTATGACTTATTATTGATATAAGCGTTAAATGTCTAATCAAAGCAGCAGAATGAGACATATAAAGTGTGGTCAAATAGCTGTTGACACTGTTACTGAACATCATTAGATAATCAGTTTTAGTTTCACAAGTATGCAAATTAGTGAACGAATGTATTTCAGCTTTTTAAAATGGAAATATATTGTGAATGGTGCTTTTTTTTGTACAGGTGTGTAGTTGCTGAGTGTCTTGTTTGCTCATGGGAAGGGATGTACCCGGTGTTTACGACTGATTCATACTTACTTACCGGTATTTTCATTGCCAGTTTGTGATCATCCATTTGTCATGGTTACGAGTGATGACAATTGTTGAATGAAGATAACTGTGTGTTGTCCAGGCGAGCTTTGTATCTCAGACAATGAAATTGTTAAATTGTTTATGATGAAGTCATACTATTCAGTTTGAAATCTGTAATGAAGTGATTCATTTGGGTGTAATCCCCTACAAATGTGATATATTTATTAATGAACATTATGTTGCTCCTTTATTCATTCTTCAGATTTACAATGATCATATTTTGTTGTTGACATATTCAAGAATAAATAATTAAATATTTTAACACATTTTTGTTTTTGATTTTGATGTCTGCAATTACTGTGCTGAATCCATACAGAAAATACTTTAGTCCAGATATGAACTTTTTGGGCTTATCTATTTTGACTGTGAAACATTTTGTTAGTAAGTCCAAGAAAAGTTGGGCGTAACCATGTCAAGGTTCTGGTTTAACAAGCAAAAGCACAACACTTCAAAGAAGCTTTAGACTGTGTTGCAGGACAGAAGGAAGTCTTCCAAATCTCTAACCAACTTCTCTTTTAGAAAAAGAGCAAAGTATACCAATCAAAAAACACAAAAGACGAACTTGTGAATGACTTTGCTGATTTCTTTTCTGAAAAGGTCAATACCAATTATTTGGGTCTTGACATTATTCGTCAGAGATCAACATTGGAAATACCTGCACCATGTATACAGTCTTATCTGTCCAACTACGGACCAGCTACTGAAGCAGAGGTTCTGCATCTGATAAGAAAAGAAAATCCTGCCAGCTTGACCCTATGCCAACATGACTCCTAAAAGAAAATGTTGAAGCTGTAACATCTACTGTCACAAACACAGTTAACTCGTCTCTCTCTGAATGTGTCGTACACAACAAAGATGAAAACAAAGCTGTTGTCACCACTCTTAAAGAAACCTCATCTGGATCCAGAGGTGCTCAAAAACTACCGTCTGGTGTCAAATCTAACCTACATCTCACAGCTCACAGAACGAATAGTTTCCTCTAGATTCGACGAACATGTGCTCCGAAATGGCACTTTTGAGCCCATGCTATCGGCATACAGCGAGGGTCATAGCACGGAAACTGCGTGTGTACAATGATCGTCTTCAGGCTGTGGACCGGCATGAAGCTGCTGCTCTCGTCCTACTTGATCTGTCCGCAGCATTTGATACGGTGAAAATCCGGGGTAGAATTTATCTTCAGTAACCCATGCTTGTCGTAAGAGGCTACTAACGGGATCGGGTGGTCAGGCTCGCTGGCTTGGTTGACACATGTCATCGTATCCTATTGCGTAGATCGATGCTCATGCTCTTGATCATTGGATTGTCCGGTCAAGATTCGATTATTTATAGATCGCCGCCATATAGCTGGAATATTGCTGAGTGCGGCGTAAAATTAAACTTACTCACTCACTGATACGGCGAATCATGACATTCTTCTTACAACTCTTGAAAACAGATGTGGATTCATTGGCAATGCTCTGATAGTTGGTGACATCATAGTTATCAGAAAGATATCAAGAAGTGGATGACATCATAGTTATCAGAAAGATATCAAGAAGTGGATGACATCATAGTTATCAGAAAGATATCAAGAAGTGGATGACATCATAGTTATCAGAAAGATATCTGAAGTGGATGACATCATAGTTATCAGAAAGATATCTGAAGTGGATGACATCATAGTTATCAGAAAGATATCTGAAGTGCATGACGTCATAGTTATCAGAAAGATATCTGAAGTGGATGACATCATATATAGCTGAAAACTATTTAAAGTTAAAAGACGATAAAACAGAACTCTTTATTGTGTGTCCAAAATCAACTGCATATATGCTGAATATCCCAACCATCACCATCGGCGACAGCATCATCACTCCCAGTTAAGATGCGAGAAATCTTGGTGTGCACTTTGACTCGACTCTCAGCACATGAAACAGGTCTGCAAACGGGCCTATGTAAATATCAGAAATATTTCCCTTGTCAGAAAATATATCAGCAAGGATGTTAATCCTTCGCTTATGCAAACCCACGTTATCTCACAGCTTGACTACTGTAATTCTCTCCTATATGGATTACGAAAACATCAACTTGAGAGACCAGCGGATACAAAACACAACAGCCAGGGGTATTCATCGAACTAGCAAATATGAACATGTCATGTGATCACTCCGTTCTTAAAGTCCCGACATTGGTTGCCCGTTGACTAGCAAATATGAACATGTCACTCTGCTCCTAAAGTCCCGACATTGGTTGCCCGTTGACAAGCAAATATGAACATGTCGCTCTGCTCTTAAAGTCCCGACATTGGTTGCCCGTTGACAAGCAAATATGAACATGTCGCTCTGCCCTTAAATTCCCGACATTGGTTGCCCGTTGAGAGCAGAATCCCTTTCAAGCTTTTAACAACTGTTTACAAAGCAGTTAATCATCTTGCTCCAGCTTACATCTGTGATGTGCTCTGGTTCAGCAGTACGAACCTCCCCGCACCCTGCGATCTACCACTCAACATCTGCTTAAAGTGCACAAATTCAGAACCAAGAGTTATGGTGACAGATCTTTCGCAGTTGCTGTGGAACAATTTGCAAGAAGAGATCAGAACAAGTCGGACACTTGATGTCTTCAAATCAAACTAAAGACTCATTTGTTTGTGCCTACTACAACAAAATATAAATACAGACTCTTGGAAAACAGCGCTTTTGAGCAGTGCTACATTGGATACAAGTGCTGTCTACATAAATAGAATTATTATTTATTACAATTTTTGAAAAAAGGCATCTTACAGAATATTTTCATTATCTGAAAGTTGTATTTTGATTGGTAGGTAAAAAATATGAATAAATTTGGAATGGTTTGGATCCAAAATCTGACATCTAAATATAAGTTTATGGATTAGTTGGATTATCTTCATGGTCAAAGTGGACATATATCTACCATCAGCCCTATTGAAACAACGCTTGTCATTCTGATATTTTATTTCATTTCATGATGTTAGAGGGCTGTAGATCTGGCAACTTATTTAAGAGTTTAAAAATACTTTTATTATAAAAGATTTATTCCTGTGTGATATTTAAGAAAAATGTAAAGCTTTCAGCGAATGACCTCACAGTATCGCTGTTGGAAGAGAGACTGAGTATGATTTTAGAGGGCTTTTAGCAATATTCCAGCAATATCATGGCAAGGGACATAACAAATAGGTTTCACACATCCACACATCAAACAAGCATGTTCGGTGTGTTACGTGGTGATAATCACTTTGACACTAAAACAGTCCGTCATTGATCAAGGTGTGAAGCCAATAAATAACAAGAAGCAATTAACAACTGTGTATTTCAAAATAAGCTAATCTCACAAATCAATACAAAGGTCTTTCAGTGGCAGTACAAGTCCACAGGCGGTATAGTACAAGAACTGTTTATAGCAATAAAGTGATGGTAATTTCACCTCACTGCAACACTGGTCGAATCTGACCTTGTCTGGGTATCTGTGTAAGTCAGAGATTATGTCAAGCTGGTCAAATATGTGACCAGCTCAACAGATCATATCCATGAGAATTGCCGATACTTGGCAGAGGTATGTGAAACTAGTCAAATATGTGACCAGCTAAACAGATTATATCCATGAGAGTTTTGCCGACACTTGGCAGATCAGAGATATGTGAAACTATCAAATATGTGACCAGCTAAACAGATTATATCCATGAGAATTGCCGACACTTGGCAGATCAGAGATATGTGAAACTATCAAATATGTGACCAGATAAACAGATTATATCCATGAGAATTGCCGACACTTGGCAGATCAGAGATATGTGAAACTAGTCAAATATGTGACCAGCTAAACAGATTATATCCATGAGAATTGCCGACACTTGGCAGATCAGAGATATGTGAAACTATCAAATATGTGACCAGCTAAACAGATTATATCCATGAGAATTGCCGACACTTGGCAGATCAGAGATATGTGAAACTAGTCAAATATGTGACCAGCTCAACAGATAATATCCATGAGAATTGCCGATACTTGACAGAGGTATGTGAAACTAGTCAAATATGTGACCAGCTACACAGATTATATCCATGAGAATAGCCGACAGTTGGCAGAGGTATGTGAAACTAGTCAAATATGTGACCAGATAAACAGAATATATCACTGAGAATTTCCGATACTTGGCAGAGGTATGTGAAACTAGTCAAATATGTGACCAGCTAAACAGATTATATCCATGAGAATTGCCGACACTTGGCAGAGATTATGTGAAACTAGTCAAATATGTGACCAGCTAAACAGATTATATCCATGAGAATTACCGATACTTGGCAGAGGTATGTGAAACTAGTCAAATATGTGACCAGCTAAACAGATTATATCCATGAGAATTGCCGACACTTGGCAGAGATTATGTGAAACTAGTCAAATATGTGACCAGCTAAACAGATTATATCCATGAGAATTGCCGACACTTGGCAGAGATTATGTGAAACTAGTCAAATATGTGACCAGCTAAACAGATTATATCCATGAGAATTGCCGACACTTGGCAGAGATTATGTGAAACTAGTCAAATATGTGACCAGCTAAACAGATTATATCCATGAGAAATGTCGACACTTGGCAGAGGTATGTCACACGCAGGACAGGCAAGCAAACAAGGAGCTGACAGACAACGTGAAGAGCGCGGACAGACCAGCAGGAGGCAATAGAGACAAGGAGGGACGGGGACTGACCACTCAATCCAACCCATCTGCTGGCCCTGTGTCGGCCACCTGACTTCGCCACCTGCCCCTGGTAGTGTGTCGGACTCTGTGTAAACTGTTCGCCATACCTCACATAGTAGTACTGCGAGAATGAAAACACCCATTCTTTGTACGCCTCTATGACTCGTGTTGTTTGAAGAGAGCCAGAGGCGTTACACATATTTGGCTTCTTATAACAAATAACCTACATGTAAATTGCATATCTATACCTTTAAAACAAACCTTTAACACATTCAAGTTCCACATTCATCATGTACAGCATAAGGCACTGAGTGACCCGTTGGACGCCTCAGACACATGATTTTGTTTGTTGTGTAAGTTGATTAATGATAGTGGCGTGAACATGATCCAGTTTCGACCATACGATCCAGTGATTGACGTCATTACCATCGATTTGTCCAGCTGTGATACTACCACATGCAACAGCCATGTCGCCATTGTGTTCGTGGTGGTGTATGACAAACAAGAGTTGCTGAAATCCTGTTGTAACGGGGAGCCAAACTTGAGGACAGGTATTTGGGACAACCATTTATCTTCTCTGAATGGAATGTTTACCACTGGACGTGTTGTAACATTGAAAAAGTTCGAAGCGAACCCTGTTTGCTATCAAACCGTCATTATAGAGATAAAATAGTCTAATGCAGAGGAGGAAAGCTGTTTGAGGGTCGGGTGGTATGACACAATTTCTTCAAGCGCCTTAGTAATATTTGCGATAAAGTAACTATGCTAAAATGTTCGTGGCAAATGAGGTAATGTTACAAAACCAAACACACACGCAAAATAATGTATTCTGTCAAAATGTATCTCTCAGTAATACTTTATTATTAGATGCGCCCTTGTAATGATTAACACCCTCATATGTCAAATTCGCTTGTGAATATAACTTGTGATAGCTGAGAAACGATTTTTCAGTTGAGCTATTTGAAATTCTCCATGTCGATTGCTGACAACCTGTTAAAGGCTAGGCTTTCACTAACACTACTGTGCATTGGGGCTGTAATTTCGTGATGCATTGTTTCATGGGTAAACTGGGACATACGACTTCGATCTAAAATGCTCCAGCATATAACAGAACAACTTTGAGGTGTCAGGAAGATACATTTAACCACTGAAGGTTAAAGTTTGAGTGAGTGAAAAGCCTTTTCACCTTATTTTGTAAAACGCAATGTTCAACGGTTACAGGACATACCCCCAAAATCAAAATTACAAGCGAGCCATCTACAGATGGGAGTGTATGTGAGTGGTTATGCCAATAATGGTTGTTCGTTCCTTATATCCAATTAAAAAATTGAAGGGGTGACAACCATTATTGGCATGAGGATATAATTAATAAAGATTAATTGCATTCTGGTGTTTCAGAATCAATGAGTTTCTCTCGTTCTCATTTTGTAAACAAGAATGACATTGCGTACACCCGTTCGTACTTAATGGGGATGACCCGTGACGATCCGCGTTAGAATTGATCTTCAGCAACCCGTGCTTGTAAGGGATCGGGTGGTCATCGTATCCTAAATGCCTAGAACGTTCCTCATACTGTTGATCACTAGATTGTCTGGTTCATACCCGATTATTTATATTTAGGTGGAATATTGCGGAGTTTGGCGTTAAATAACAACCAAACCAAACTTAAAGGGGATACAGGCGAATTATTTTCAATATTCTCCTCACTACAAAATACAGTGTTGATTTTAATCACTGACTAGTTTGTAGCAATGTTGTTAAAAGTAGCATTTTGATCTCCTCTGACATAATTAAAGATGACGTCATCCACTGTTGATGACGTATTTCAAACAGGCTTCGGAACGGATCTTTAATATCAGCTAATCTAGATACCACAAGGTTATATAGAGGATATTATATGAGTGCCCATGTCACACTATGTTTACGACACGAGTGCCTAAATGTTGGTATTTTCCGAACGATATTTTCGCCCTCATAGGTAATAAACACACATATTTCCCGCTTCTGACCCATGCAATAAATTACAGGCAACCGTTGATATCTTTTTGACTCAAAACACACGATGAATGATACATATATATTTCTTTTTTGTTGTTGTTTTGTTAATCCATCGTGACACCAAATACCTGGTTTCACTAACAAGCAATGTTGATTCATTTTATTAACATTCTCCGCTTCCGTTTTATCTTTCAATTTGCATACACCCGCCTTATGGAGCCGGAAGGTGAGACGAAGAGCAGAGGGTTCAAAGGTCCGTAAACATCTTCAGCGGACGAGAAGAGATATTATATTGCTTGTGTGTCATTTAATATGTGGTCTCGGTCAACGAAACTACATTTAAATACTACGTACCTGGTCTATTGTCAACAAGCAGTATTATCGTAAACACAACCTAACTCTGCTCAGTGCAACCTACGACAACTTCACAATTTCGATATATTTGATCGCCATTGATGTTTTATAAATTGAACCATTTTTTGTTGTTATTCATTAAAGCAAAACGACATGTCACATGTGTTAAAGATATATTTCAGGACAGGAATGCATCTTATTATTACATCTTTATGAATTGTCTGCTGTGACAATTACAGACAATATTTGATAGTGTCCATGTTATTATTGGGGCGCGGTCGGGGCCCGGTCTAGGTACTGTTAAAGTAACCACAAGTATTATTCACTGTGTCTGTTGCAGCAGGAGCCTGAACGATGGTGTCGGTGTCGCAAGTTGCAGTGGTGGTACTGGGTGTTGTCATTACTGGGTTCTTCCTCTACCCTCCCCCTCCCTTGTCTCAAAGGCTGTTGTCATGGAAACAGAGAGGCAAAGTTTACGGATATAATGACTTGGACGTATTCTATATTGGTAATGATGTTATAATATATAATATTCCAATTGATGATACAATGAAACTATCCTAAAATCTTGTGGGCGGTGGGGTAGCCTAGTGGTTAAAGTGTTGGCCCGCCACGCCAAAGACCCGGGTTCGAATCCTCACATGGGTACAATGTGTGAACCCCATTTCCGATGTCCCCCGCCGTGATATTGCTGGAATATTGCTAGAAGCGGCGTAAAACCAAACTCAGTCATTCCTAAAATCTTGTCATCTCTACCCTTTGATCTTATATTTACCATCTAGACGAGGTATTTGTGTAGTGGTTAATGTGCTCATCATGGTGATGACCTGGGTTTGTCTCCCAATATGGGTCCTATGTGTGAAGTCCAATCCCGGTGTCTACTTGAATAGGTCCCAATGTATACAGTGTAGACATTCTGTTTTCCTCCCCACTTTGAGCACATAGTCTACCTATACCATTGTAGACATTCCTCGATGATACAGTCAGTCCATCTCAAGGATGGATCACAGTGTATACCATGTGTTATTTTGTTTCCCTCCCCATGTTTAACAGTTGATAGTCCATGTCCTGTATAGGTCCCAATATATACAGTGTAAACATTCTGTTTTCCTCCCTAGATGAGGCATTTAGTCCAACCCCTTTATTGATCCCAGAGTATGTAATGTAGACTTTCTGTTTTTCTCTCTAGATGAGGCATTTAGTCCTCTTTATTGATCCCAGAGTAGATGAGGCATTTAGTCCAACCCTTATTGACCCCAGAGTATGTAATGTAGACATTCTGTTCTCCTCCCCAGATGAGGCCTTTAGTCCATCTCCTGTATTGATTCCAGTATATATAATGTAGACATTCTGATCTCCTCCCCAGATGAAGCAGGGAGTGGGACAGGGACTGTGTTCTGTCTCCACGGTTTCCCATCTTCCAGCTACGACTGGATCAAGGTAAGAATATACTCAAGAAACATGGGTGTTGAGAAAAATCTGCTTTTGGATGAAAGGTTTGGGAGTTGAAAAATAATGTCAAAAACACATTTGGCGAAATGCTGCTGTAATTTGCAACTGTGTGAAAGTAATGGGTAGGACTGGTGAAGTGTCTCAGGTCAGCATTATGAAATTATGTGTTTTTAGTCTTCAGATACTACTAAAGATTTGTGATAGTTCTGAAATAATACTGATATGACATTCATTTTAAATCAGGTTAGTTTACTGTCTGGTAGTTGTGGGTTTCTGTTTTTACAGACACAACATACCTTCTTCCTTCGCCGTTTTAAGGTGCGGTGAGGTAACATGGTGGTTAAAGCATTGCCTTGCCACACCCAAAATCTGGGTTCAATTCCCCACACGAGTACAATATGTAAAGCTCATTTTTGGTGTCCACCCGACGTGATATTGCTGGAATATTGCTAAAAGCAGCATAGAACTGTACTCACTCACTCACTTCTACTTTTCAAGGAAGAAGACGTACAAGGGGAAATAACTATTGACAACAGTTTTAACTGTTTTTTTACTATTGAAGATAGGAAGGAAACTGAATACTCTTACAACAGGATTAGCATACAATATATGACCAAGTCACATTTCTGTAAATCTACTTTCAGATAATGCCCTACTTGAAGAATCAGTTTGCACGTATTGTGCTGGTGGACTTTGTAGGCATGGGCTTCAGTGAGAAACCAGTGAGTCAAGGCATTTTGGTGTTTATTGGTTTACAATGTGTTTGGCCTGAAATTAAATTTAGGTGGCCTCCCAAAATTAGATAAATGACTTTCAGCTTCCAGATAAGCACTGTTAGCAGTGAATGGAAAACAAAAACCTTGTAAGACAGACTGTCATGGAAGTTTGATTGCAAATGATGCTGAAAGATAATTTCTTTTTGTGTTGGACTAGAGATTTGTATGTGTATTATTCCCCATTTCTTGGACAGTGATGATTAGTTGATAAGTGTTTAACAATTTTAAAAACTCAAGTGGCGAGTAAATATTAATCAAAACTATTATATGTTGTTTTTGGTTGGTTTGTTAATTTGGTTGGCCTCATGAACCAGTACAGTGTGTGAAGCCCGTATCTGGTGACTCTTGCTGTCATATTGCTGAAAGCAGCGTAAAACTAAAACCCACTGAACTGAAAATTGGCCTAACCAGACACAATTATCATGTTGCTAATTGTGCTTTGAACTTGTGTAGTCATGTACTGCTGTTGATTTTGCTGAATGAACATCTACTTATTGCAGGTACAAATATACAAGTCATGACGATAGGATCAGTTACTCTTGTGGGTGATATGCACTTCCTATGTGTCTTTTCACAGGAAGACTACAAGTATTCTGTATTTGACCAAGCAGACATGATAGAAAACCTGGCAGAGTCCCTGTCAATATCCTCCACACACATCCTGGCCCATGACATGGGAGACACAGTAGCACTGGAGCTTGTTGCCAGGTGAATATTACATCATCATCACTTCTGTAGTCCTGGGGTTCTAGTGGGAAGGTAGAAGGTTTGGGGTTCACCACTGGCTTTATCTTACCTTACGTGTAAATCACTGTAATCTTATTGGACAATGCAGTTTTTTATATGTCATATTTGACATTACACTTTCTTGGTAAAGTACAGATTCTAGTACTTTTGCTGGGTTGAATCCCATCCAGGATTCGAACCCAGACCCTCAGAGTCAGGCACCTAATCGCCAGCACTCAAAGTCAGCTCCCTAACCCACTCAGCCACCGTAACTTCCACAAAATGAAAGTCGGACAACTGGTAGTTTAGACTGCGGACTTTGTGTACCCCTCACCACTTTCTAAAATGGCATTGTGTAATCAGTGCAGTTTTTACAGAAATCTGTGTACCGGTTGTCAAGGGGTATAACTAGAAAAATATACCCCACTGCCCTCACCACAGGGTATTTGTCTGACAGCTCAAAATATTATCTCAGCTGAATGAATTTTGAAATGTAAACGCGTGTGTTGATACTGTCTTTGAGGGACAGCTAGGAGAGAAATGTAAACGCGTGTGTTGATAGTGTCTTTGAGGGACAGCTAGGAGAGAAATGTAAACGCGTGTGTTGATAGTGTCTTTGAGGGACAGCTAGGGGAGCAGCAACATTGTTTTCTTTGTCATTTATATGCAGGACAATATTCTCCAACGTCTCTGTCTGAGATTCTTGGCCGCTATGAATGTGTCTTACATTTGTTAATGTGTCGTTGTTGGTCTTCAGGTTCAAGGAGAGGTCGGAGGACAGAGGTCTGGTCCTGACATCCTTGTGTCTGCTCAATGGTGGTAAGAGGGGTCCAGCGGGGTCAACAAGAAATGTTTGAGTTCTGATTAAGTGTTAGTGTTCAAGTGAGGATATATCCCTTTGAAAAGGGATGGGGAACATTTTATGCCTTGGTAATATGCATTCGGTTATCATAGAAAAAATTAAGAAAATATTATTTCACCACAGTTAACACATAGTGTTGTGATGTTTGTTTACAAGCACCTGTAGGTGTATTCGATATAGTATTAGGCTCTGTCCGTCCGTATGTCCATCCGTCCGTCTGTATGTCCATCCGTTCGTGTGTCCGTACGAATTAAAATATCTTAAGAACCATTGACTAGATTCTTTGCATATTTGGTACCTAGGTTCATCACAGTATAAGAAAGGTCCCATTCAAGTTTGGTGACCTTGACCTTCATTTCAAGGTCACAAGGGGACTTTAGCGTTTTACTCTTGTCAGCGAGATATCTTAAGAACCGCTTGCTAGATTTTCTTCATGTTCAACACCAAGCTTTATCGATTTTGGTGATCTTCGCTTAATTTTCAAGGTCACAAAGACACTTTGAAGATTTCAGCATGTTAAATTGCATGTTAAATGTCACATGCAACGTCATCTCTGGTGTCCCCTGCCGTGATATTGCTGGAATATTGCTAAAAGCGGCGTAAAACCAAACTCAGTCAGTCAGTCAGTCACATGCAACGCAAAACACAGATTCTGATTCCTTTCGGTATGGACTTACAGTAACAAATTATCAAAAATGCAAATCAACTTATAAAGTTGAAAAATAACGCGATGAAAAACACCCCCGCGAAATCGGAGTTCAAATGATTCACTAATTTCACCCCAGTGAAAAGTGGTTTCAACAGCTATGCTACGCTGCGCCCATAGCGCATGCGCAGTGATTAGGTTCGTAGCGCTTGAACTAGGTTCACGCGACTTGTGAAAACACAGCAAGTGATGCATGCAAGGATTATCGCTGTGGTCGAAGTTGGAGAACAAAAAATGCTTCTTGTGATTGCAAGCATCTTTGGGACCGCCTCTGTGGTGTAGTGGTTAGAGCGTCCGCCCGGAGAGCGGAAGGTCGCGGGTTGGATCCCTGACCGCATCATACCAAAAGACGTTAAATTATGGTACTTGTTGGTCCCTGCCTGGCGCTCGGCATTAATGGGTACAACAAGGACTGGTCGGCTCGGAGTCAGTATAATGTGTCTGAGTGGGGTATTCATGCTTCACTGCATCATGGTATCTCAGTGGGCTAGCATTATAAAACCAGCTTCAGTCTGGGCTAGTACAAACAGCCGCACATACACACGCATTCACGTCGTCATATGAGCGAAATATTCTCAAGCACGACCTTAAACCCAATTTCACCTCACCTCACAAGCATCTTTGGTCCGCAGTAATACAAATACACTGGTCTCATACTTTTTCTCATATGTTTTCACATCTTGCTTTTTGGGGGTTGGCAGATTTGAAAAACAAGTTTTCAAGAAAGTGTAGCATTAGAAATACTAATTTCTTTGTTAAAAATTTCTCAGCTTGAAAACTGAAATGTTTTAATACATGTCTATGGAAGCAGAAAAATATGTTGATTGTGATAAGCAGTCTCTGTAAACTCAATGTCTGTTTTATTGACACCTATGTGTCTGCCTGCTTTTGACAATATTCAATGCACAACTTCAATCATTGACCACATGCAATTTGAACTTGAAACGTATGAGGCTATACACCATAAACAAAATACATTGATTTATGGCTCGTGCACCTGAGTTCTGTCTCTGTCACATTATGTAATTACACAGACAGGCAGGTGTGATACTTGTACACATGACATGTTATTATGTCTGTGGGTTGCAAACAAACAGCATCCATTTTTCTCGGATGACTGGATCGGACGGAAACCGGTGCAAACTCAGATTGTCAGTTTCAAGTCCTGCTTTGTACTTGAACGAACGACAGTTTCCAGCCATGCAGTAGTTCAACATCTCAGTGTTTGTTGATTGGATCGAACGCAAATGCAGACAAAATGAGCATGTATGTACAAAACCCAACATCTCTATATATATACACACACAATGAGCCCTCAGCGTATCGGCAAATGAACCAGCCAATGAAAGACTTCGTTACACTTGAGTGCACACCGTCCCATTCTGACTGGGTTCGGTCTCCCGGGGGCTTCATTTCGAGGGAAGTAAACCCAAGTACCAAATATTACACTTTTGATTTGCGATTGTACACTTTTAAGTTGTTTATTTGTTTTTTCATAATCAGCAATGTATGTTATATGTCATGAATAAGTGATAAGGTTTGTTTTTTGGGTTGCATGTGACCTTTAAGATAGTCAGCAAGATATTGCAAAATCAATTCACTGGATTTTTTTCATATTTGACACCAAACTTCATCAAATGAAGGCGCAGGGCCCAGTCAGGTTTGGTGACCTTCACATAATTTTCAAGGTCACTGCGACACGTTTTCAAGATTTCAGCATGTTAACCTGATTTCACTGGATTTCCTTCATAGACTTTCAAGACTTCCCGTGAATGTTTTTCAATAAGCAATTTCTTTAGTACCATTTTTGCATATTTCATACACTATGACATTCATGTCAAGGTCAAAGTCAGTCTTGAAAATATGTGTGTGTTTGAACAACTAAAGAGAAGATATCAAGAGAGGTTGACTGGTCATGTTTTTGTTGACATTTAACTTCTTCTTAAACTTTCATTACTTTTTAAGTTTGATTTGATAATTTGTGGCGGGGGATTATGTCACCTTAGTGACAATGCTAATTCAGTGTTCATCGGAATATCAACATGTTTAATCAATTATGTTTTAGGCCTCTTCCCAGGGAAATATTATCCAAGGTTACTACAAAAGGTTTGTATGAGCCTATGTCTATAAACAATCGCATTACATTCTGACATGGAAGATGCGGGTTAGAATTGATCTTCAGTAACCCATGCTTGTCGTAAGAGGCGACTAACGGGATCCGGTGGTCAGGCTCGCTGACTTAGTTGACACATGTCATCATATCCGAACTGCGTTGAGCGATGCTCTTGCTGTTGATCACTGGATTGTCTAGTCCAGGCTTAAAACTTTACAGACCACTGCCATGTAGCTGGAATATTGCTGAGTGCGGTGTAAAACTAAACTAACTCACTCACTCTGACATGGTAAATATCTCAGGAGTGAGGTCATAACACTGTGTACAGTCTGATTGAGTCAGAAACGGACCGTTGAATTGCAAATTTTATCATTGTACAAAATTGCCACATAAATATAAATAGTACACATGTTTATCATTTACTAATACCCAACAGCTTTCTTATATTTGAACATTTTCCGGACTCCACCAAAATAGTTGTTTAAGAAACTATCATCATTGAAAACGCAAAAGTTGTTATCTGTCGCGGCATGGTGAAACCGCAGAAACGGAACAGCCAGTCATGGCGGGGGACATCTCAAAATCTATTCCAGGAGACCTGTCGGTTCCTCGTCTGTCGTAGTGTCATAGTCACGACTTAAAGGGATGACAAGTAGTGCCACAGTTGCCTGTTGTAAGCCATTCTTTTCATATTTGGTACCTAGGTTCATCACAGTATAGAAAGGCCCAAGTCAGGTTTGGTGACCTTGACCTTTATTTCAAGGTCACAAGGGGACTTTAACGTTTTACCTGCATGTTAAGCTATCTCAAGAACCGTTCACTGGATTTTCTTCATATTCAATACCAAGCTTTATCTAGGGAAGGCGCAGGGCCCAGTCGATTTGGTGACCTTCACTTAATTTTCAAGGTCACAGAGACACTTTGAAGATTTCAGCATGTTAAATTGCATGCAAGAACGGGTCACTGGATTTTCTTCATAGACTTTCATGACTTCCCTTGAATGTTTTTCAATAAGCAATTTCTTTAGTACTTTTTTTGCATATTTCATACACTTTGACATTCATGTCAAGGTCAAAGTCAGTCTTGAAAATATTTGTGTGTTTGAGCAACTAGAGAGCCAGATATCAAGAGAGATTGACTGATCCTGTTGTTGTTGACATATAACTTCATCTTAAACTTTCATTACTATATAAGTTTGATTTGATACTTTGTGGCGGGGGATTATGTCACCTTAGTGACAATGCTTGTTTTATTTGTAGATTTTGCTGATTCCAGTCCTTGGCAATGTTGTATCAAGATTGATATTTTTCCAACTGTTCCCGAAAGGGGTAAGTGATTCAGTGAATGTGTTGTTTGTGCTGCTATTGTCAGCAACATTACAGCAATATCACAGCAATCTGCTTCATTTAGTCAGCTCTGAAACATGAAAACCCTACACTTTGTGCGACAAACTCATCTTCATCTAGATACTCTTTATACATAAAACCCGTGAAGATCCGGGTTAGAATTGATCTTCAGTAACCTATGCTTGTCGTAAGAGGCGAATTGGGTGGTCAGGCTCTCTGACTGGGATGACATGTCATCGTATCCCAGTTGCGTAGATCGATGTTCATGCTGTTGGTCCCTGGATTGTCTTGTCCAGACTCGATTATTTACAGATCGCCACCATATAGCTGGAATATTGGTGAGTGCAGCGTAAAGCTAAACTCACTCACTCACTTTATACATAAAACATGCTATAGTCATTTCATGGGGATTCTGGGTAACAATAGGTTCCCATCAAACTATGCTGGTTGTTGACCAAATGGATCAGCAGATCAGGTTTGTTGACATGCATGATAGCTTGTCATCGTATTCCTATACAGGGATGAGAATGAAGTTTGAGAAAAACTCGCAGAAGCTCCTGATATTTAGGCATTTTAGACCTTTAAAACTGGCTCAGAAATCACAATATCATGAACACAGCAAGCATTAAAAAAAATTAAATCTTCTGAAGCACATTCATACAATTGTCAACGAAATTAGACGATTCACAAAAATGACCCTTGGCCTTATGAAATTCTCGGAATTCCGCGGATCTGCGGAAAATTCTCATCCCTGCCTATAGCATGGATGGTTGTTCACAAGCTGAATCACTGGATTGTTTGATTCAGACTGTACTACCTACAGACTGCCATTATCTAGCTGAAATATTGCTGAGTGTGCAATTAGACAACAAATTTGATCATTTCAAAATTTAGGTAAAAACACCTGGGATGTAGACACAGACCCTTTTTGATTCTCACATGAAAGAATTTGTTCTTATGTTTCCCAAAGTCAAATAAAAACAGAATTGTTTAGTATTAATTGTCACAAGGTAAATTTTGATTTTTAGGTTTGGAGACATTTTCGGTACCAACAAGCCGACGTATGAAGATTTTGAGGATTTCTATGCCGCTATCAGATACAGAGATGGTAACGCTGTTCTGCCAGGGTATGTAGTATCCATGGAAACCCTGTGATGTCAGCTATGATCTACTACTCATATTGTTACAGGGATAACTAGAGATACCATTCTATGCAAACATTCACAGAACAGCAATGTTATGTATACCATAGAAAATATGCGTTTCAAAGTTTGAGTTGTATATTATGAGTTTGTCTGCATGCATTATTGATTGACAGTGAAAAAAACCCCAACTGACTACACAGTTAAGTGAATGAATGATTTTATGAGTTCTTTGATTTTGTCATATGAACTGCTGTCTCTAGTTGGTCGAGTTCCATATAGAATTAAGTCTTTTTTGACACCCGTCACTGTCATGTCAGGTGATCTTTCTATCAGTCAATCAGCATGCAGGCTTCTACATTCACAGTACCTGGGTACCACCAAAAAAAGCTGAATATTAACATTCTTTAAATGGAGAAAGTAATGGCCATGCTATGCTGTGGAATATTTACACTGTATTGTCTTGAAAGTCATGGTATCTGCAGCCTAGAGTTTTTCTTCAGATCAAATTTTCTGAATTGATGAAAAACATGGAGTAGAAATTAAGCTAGTTCACAGTAGAACCAACAGTGAGTGATGTTGGCAAAATTAATAATATCTTGGAGTTGAATTAATTTTTAAAGCTGATTAGAGATTTGGTTTGAACAGTTAAAGTTGTAGCTCACCAGAGAGAGATCCTGATGAACAGATTTGGTGTTAGTGTGATCAGATATGTTTCAGGAAAGTCATAATACCTAGCGAGTAATAAATTTGACTGAAAATGTGGCATACTCTGTGATGTGTCCAGTTGGATATATGAATGTTCTATTTGCTGATATTCCATATTCCACACCTCCCAACATTTTCAGTTCTGGGCAGGAACATTGAGTGTAGATATTGAGGAGACGACTCCCTGAGCCAAGGGAGATAACTACGTATTGGTGTTTCAGGCTTCTTCACTATATAAAGGAGAGATCTGACAATGAGGACAGATGGGTGAATGGCGTTCTGAAAACATCACCCATTCCAGGTACAATCAGATAATAAATGTGAAGAATGATTCTGTGAAAATAAGGTGTACCAAACTCAGTTGAATGACAAAACATATTGCACGGTGAAAACATTACCTCTATTAAATGGACCCAATTCATAATGAATTTAATCTCTGGAATTAGTTCATCATTTTTGTTTGGTGTGACTACAGTGTAAATACTTGATGATGTTTCAGTGTTGATGGTGTATGGGCCTGCCGACCCCATCAATCCTTCCCCCACATTTCCAGATCAGTTCAGGTCAGATAAAGCAATATCCTTGCTGTCACTCTAATTTGTCAAAGTTGTAACACATTCTGTGCACAGAAGTCAAGGTCAGACATGTTCCAGTGTAATAGAATATTTTATTACCATTGGAAAAGCTGTAATAGATCCGAGTTAGAATTGGTCTTCAGCAACCCATGCTTGTCGTAACAGGCGTCTGTGGTGGTCAGACTCGCTGACTTGGTTGACACATGTCATCGTATCTCACTTGTGTAGATTGATGCTCATGCAGTTGATCAATGGATTGAGTGGTCCAGACTCGATTATTGATTGACCGCCTCGATATAGCTGAAATATTGCAGGGTGCAGCGTTTAACAACAAACCAAACTGTAATATTCCTCTCTCTGACAACTGTACAAAATTCAAGCTGAACTATTTAGAGGCAGACACGAAATAGCTACAATATTGACCACTGTGCCATAAAACTGATAACAACCAGTCACTACTGTATGCATGTAATTGTAATATATACTTCTTACAATATGATCAAGAACGATTGTATCTTATGACATGTTTATCTGTCATGGTCATGGTAGATTAGATATAGTCACATGACAAGTTCGGTGTTCTTCAACTGTTTTTGAGTGGTATGTGTCCAAGTAGATGTCACGTAGATCTTTTGATGACCTACTAATTTCCTCAGTTCATGTATTTGTTTGTTCCAGGAAAGTCGCTCCTCAACACAAGCTGGTTGTCCTGGACAAAAGTATTGGGCATTACCCACAGTGGGAGGACCCAGAGAATACTGGAAGAAGCTATGTAGAGTTTATTAAGGGGCTTAAGTCCAAGAAGCCAAAACAATGAGGGAAGATGTTTCCTGGTTCATTTGACTGTGAATCAAAAGATTCCCCAATTCTTGCTAAATTTTTGTCACTAGAACTGAAATAAGATATTTTAAAATCACTCTTATTCAGTACCTCCCTCAGTCAAGATGAATTAGAGTACAAGATCTTATTTAGGAAAGATCACATTTAGAGGATCTCTGTGAACCCTTAACATTGATTTCAGGAGTCACCATTTCTCTTTGATACATCTTCTAAACCATGGTGAAATGTCTGTAGTATCAGGCAATGATAGTCCTGTCAACATTATTTTTATTGAATGACACTTGCATAAAGATATTATATATTTTAGAGTTACGAAACCTCATTTAGGCCAGACCAATTTTATTTCTTGTTTTACGGATCCGTAACATGTGATTCTTTGGCATTTGATCTGCTACAAATTTGTAAACCACAGACTACTTTTTCCTGATGGTAGGGAATTATGGGACACTGTTGCTCTGAATGATGTCACTAACTTCACACTTTCTGGTACAGTATTTTGTGTTGATTTAATAGGGGTGTCACGATACATATGTTTCATGAATCGATATGTATCACGATACCCATGTCATGATTTGATACGTATCACGATATCTATTTTCGTGGCATTATTGCGTAAGTTTAGTTACGTTTTGAACATTAATATTTCATATTTTATAACTGTCCATGAAAAGATCAGCTTTTTCATTCTCAGAGATTAAAAAGTTCTAATTGCCCATCTTTGTGCATGAAAAATAATCATTTATAACTCTCATAACATCAAAAAACATGATACAATTGCATAATGTAAACGATACATAAACATATTTAAACCGATGCTTTCAAAACTAAATATTCATACAGTTTTGAATGTATCGATAATTGTATTGTCTTAGAAAAATGATTGATGTATCGTGGCATCCTTAGTTGATAATAAGCAGTCTGTGAAGTTGTTGTTATAATTATATTGTTGTTGTTTCATTGTTTATTTATCAGAATTGTATGTGATATGATGATGGAATGAATTTGCACAAGACGTCCAGGGGCGTCCCTTAGTTTGCACATACAATTTAGGGAGGGGCATTCATATTATACAATGCTTTCCATTAAATCATCATCACCCCCTAGCCATAAATCATGAACGGTTCCCAACAGCCATAGATCAAGTGCTAAACCCTGGGTTATCCACAGAGATGGGTCTTCATTCTATCAGTTAGCAATACCCTGGACAAGCTCCACAGCTTCAGTTTCAAGACTTTGTGGAAATGTCATGGCCTGTTCCTGAACATTCCAGTGTTGTCCAACCGAGAGAGTTAGAGAAACTTATTGTACAGATAAAGGGGCGTGATAGGGTCCTGGGGCTAGATATGTTGAGAGATTTACTTCAATGCACAACTGGGACAGTGAAGGGGGCGTGATAGGGTCCTGGGGCTAGATATGTTGAGAGATTTACTTCAATGCACAACTGGGACAGTGAGAAGTTCAAGAAAACCAAATTGTCTCATATTGCTTTTGTAAATCTGGCAAGCCATGTGAGTGAGTGAGTGAGTTTAGCCTTAAGCCGCACTCAGCAATATTTCAGCTATATGGCGGCGGTCTGTAAATGGTAGAGTCTGGACCAGACAGTCCAGTGATCAACATCATGAGCATCGATCTACGCAATTGGGATACAATGACATGTATCAACCAAGTCAGCGAGCCTGACCACACGATGACATTGTCAAGCCATGTGAAATGAACTAAAGTCAAGTAAAGAATTTGTGTGCCCTGTAATGTTTTGAATAGTTAGAAGAAATCATCGGGTGCAGTTTGTTATGGGTAATGAGTTTCAAGGTCATTTGTTTGGGAGAAATCTGCATGTGTGATATATTTATGAATGAACATTAAACTGCTCAATTAATCATTTATGAGATTTACAATGATTATTTTTTGACAGTTACATCCACAGGAATAAATTATTTCATATTTTTGCACATACTGGGGTTATGTTTTTGTATTCTGTTGATCCTGTGCAAATTCCATACCTTTGACTTCCTATGTTGCACAGCTTCTATTCATGATCTGGAGTAAGGGTGTGGCAAAGGAATGGCAGATGTCTCTTTAACTCACTCACTCACTTTTCATGTGCATGAGGGGCACAGGAGGCCAAGCCGTTTAAATTGCTGTAATACACTCTGAAGAGTTGCTTCCCTTGGATACCCCAGATCCTTTGGTTGTGGGTTCGAATCCTGGATTGTTTTGTTTCTAAGTTTGTCAGCACCTCACCTATACTCTTGGCTTTCACCACAAGGCTTCACCCAGATCGGCATCACCTTCCTCCCTGGAAGCTGCTCATGTATGTGTGAATATACTTCCTGACATATATGGTCGTTTATCTCAGTTTAACTGAAACATGACATACATGATTACCATGTATAACACATTTATATAACAATGTTAGAAATATATTACACAATTCCTCTAAAAAGGTATAAACGCCCCAGTTTGTATTGTTTCTCAACATAACATATGTACTATAAGCCAATGATTCAATTTAAGGTGTGAATGATATAAATTTTAAACATTTTTCAAAATAAAAAAATTATGAAACAATGGTGTTAACAGTGTCGACATTGCCAGGGAGACCCTCCCAGCGTTACAACGTTTTCCAACCCCTGTGCTGGAGACGACGTTCAACATGGCCACTACTGCTTGTCACCCCTACAAACACTACTATGTGAGGATTCTGTTAGTATTGACCCAAGGAACCTGTGTTCGTTGTAAAAGGCGACTAAATGATTATATGTTTAGATCGGATGAAAAGGTGTCACCCTATGATCCTGTCCCCTTGGTCGTTGCACATGGTAATAATCACTGAGTTTTCTCGTCCAAAATCCACCAAGCTGCTGCCATAAAACTTGAATGTTGATGAAAAGCGGAATCGAACTACAAACTACATGCCACCATATACATTGTAGTCAGTTACATATATCCGAGCACATTACATGTTTGTAAGCTTAATTAATATGATTTGCAGGAAGCAGGTGTATTTATAAATGAGTTATTCCTAATATTGGTAAATGATACTCAGGTTTATGACACAATGAAAGCCTTCATCTATCACTGATCTGTCTGAGATGCTTGAAAGAAACCATGAAGTGTCCTCAGTGATGAATATATATGATGCGTAGGCTACCAGTTGTCATGGCGATTGTCCCTACCAGTAATCTGAAACATGACAAAACGTAAACTGCTACAGACAGAAAACTAGTATATGTTCTTCAAGACATACGAGTTTTCTCTGAAAGGATGGCTTGTCCGTTACTTTGTGGTAACACATCTTTTCAGGGTAAACAATGTTTGTGTAAGACGAGACTACGATATATCTTTAGATTTAGACTGAATCAGAATCCATTAACTGGATCAGAAAGTAAAACTCTCCGATAAAGCATCGTTGTAAGGTGGTTCAGCTTTGTTACTTTAGGTCTATAGCGTGGATTTTAATTGAGTAAACTCGTGAAGATCCAGGTAAGAATCGGTCTTCAGCAACCCATGCTTGTCGTAAGAGGCGACTAACGGGATCGAGTGGTCAGACTCACTGACTGGGTTGACACATGTCATCGCATCCTAATGTGTAGATTCATGCTCATGCTGCTGATCACTGGATTGTCTGGTCCAGACTGGATTATTTACAGACAACCGCCATGTAGCTGGAATATTGCTGAGTGTAGCCTTAAGCAACAAACATTCAATCAATTTAACTGAGCAAACGTATTCTATTCTTTACTGATGTGTTCTTGATTTTGATCCATTTTGTTTCAGTCTAAATATACTATTTCACCGTCCATAGATATCATATATGAATATCTGGTTCTGCATGATCGCAAGTTGGCTGTAATAGGGCCGTGTGCCATTTAGACAGATATTGATGTAAAATCGAACTTATAAGACATTTCCTGATCCACTCATTAACATTTAACCACAGTGGCTCGGCAATCTGACACTAGTATGACTGGTGTAATTCAACCATCAGTAGACATCAGCTTTCAGTTTCTTGGATCGAAATGTATTTTGCACGACAATGTACTTATCCCGAAGCATGAAACCTCATTTCATATAGAAGTAGATAAGAGAAACTATCTTAGCATGCGATCATAACAAGCTTTTTGCAAAACATATGCCCTATGAATGCAACCGATCACCCAAGAAAACATGCGCAGGCACACGCACACGCACGTACACACACACGCAGACATACACATATACTCGCATGCAGTCTCCATAAATTAACCACATACAATAACGTAAGAACTAGATTTTGTATCATGGAATGTATTATCTCAAAATATGAATTTGTGACAAAGGGTTGAACTACATGGATTCCAAGCTGCTACGTATTTAAATGGAAGTGTACCAACCTATGGTCCCCACTGATGTCGGTGGTGGAGGACCCTTGGTGACGAATCTGGAAAACCCAGTGACACGTCCATGGGGAGCTGGCGTTAGGAAAGCTATGAGAGTGCATGCAACCACAACGAGTAGGACCACACCCAGTATGACAAGCGGGACAATGCCATGTACCCTAAATATACAGAATAATTGGTATGCCTCGTGTAAGAATTCCTGGAGAGAACACATGAGTCTGTCTACATGTTGTTTGTTTGTTGTTTAATGCGGCACAGTAAACAACAAGGAAACAAACGCCTCACCCCAGCAACATTCCAGCTATATGGATGCAGTCTGTAAGTAATCGTGTCTAGACCAGACAATCCAGTGATCTACACCATGATCTTCGATCTACGCAATTGGGATACGATGACATGTGTCAACCAAGTCAGCAAGCTTGACCACCCGATCCCGTTTGTCCATACGCATTGGTTGGTGAAGACCAATTCGAACCTTCAAGGTTCTTCAGGGGTTCGTCTAAAGCAAGTATTTAACATCAACTAGTGCTTTGATTCTTTGATGGCTATTCATTATTGGCTAGCATGGAGCTCAATGCGCCACAAATCACTATGCAGAGATGCCTCCCTTATAGGCATACCAACAACCTATGTATGCCGTTCGTGCTAATCACACGCAATGTTTATAGGTTCATATCTGCACTCAAGCGTTCGTATTTCCGCATCACTTCGGGGTTTCATCCCCGAGGAAGAGTGTGAGTGAGTGAGTTTTATTTTTCCGCCGTTTTTAGCAATATTCCAGCAATATCACGGTGGGAGACACCAGAGTCTTCAACGCGAACGCTTTAATCACTAGACTTAATTCCTTATATTCTGCAAGTGCTTATATATAGTTTAGATGTACAAACAATATAATTTGTCAGTCATTATGTCAGAAGCCTGAAAATAACAGTACCTATACCCTAAATAATGATTAGTTGTTGAAAGGTGTTAAAAGGTGATTCTACAAGACGCTTCTGTTTGAGCATAAATGATCCCTTCTTACCATAACTTCCATTCCAGCTGTGTACAACACCGGGTGTTAAACATACAGCACCCATGGTTACACGTCTCCTTCTCATCCCCACACGTCTCTGCTGCAACCACTGAAACATACAGCTCCCATGGCTACACGTCTCCTTCTCATCCCCACACGTCTCTGCTGCAACCACTGAAACATACAGCACCCATGGTTACACGTCTCCTTCTCTCATCCACCACACGTCTCTGCTGCAACCACTGAAACATACAGTAGCCATGGTTACGCGTCTGCTCTTCTGAAACATACAGCACGTCTCTGCTGCAACCACTGAAACATACAGTAGCCATGGTTACACGTCTCCTTCTCACCACCACACGTCTCTGCTGCAACCACTGAAACATACAGTAGCCATGGTTACACGTCTCCTTCTCACCACCACACGTCTCTGCTGCAACCACTGAAACATACAGCAGCCATGGTTACACGTCTCCTTCTCACCACCACACGTCTCTGCTGCAACCACTGGAAACATACAGCACCCATCGTTACATCGTCTCCTTCTCACCACCACACGTCTCTGCTGCAACCACTGAAACATACAGCACCCATCGTTACACGTCTCCTTCTCATCACCACACGTCTCTGCTGCAACCACTGAAACATACAGCACCCATCGTTACACGTCTCCTTCTCACCACCACACGTCTCTGCTGCAACCACTGAAACATAAAGCACCCATCGTTACATCGTCTCTTCTCACCACCACACGTCTCTGCTGCAACCACTGAAACACACAGCACCCATCGTTACACGTCTCCTTCTCACCACCACACGTCTCTGCTGCAACCACTGAAACATACAGCACCCATCGTTACACGTCTCCTTCTCATCCCCACACGTCTCTGCTGCAACCACTGAAACATACAGCACCCGTAGATACACGTCTCCTTCTCATCCCCACACGTCTCTGCTGCAACCACTGAAACATACAGCACCCATCGTTACACGTCTCCTTCTCATCCCCACACGTCTCTGCTGCAACCACTGAAACATACAGCACTCATGGTTACAACGTCTCTGCTGCAACCACTGAAACATACAGCACCCATGGTTACACGTCTCCTTCTCATCCCCACACGTCTCTGCTGCAACTGAAACATACAGCACCCATAGATACACGTCTCCTTCTCATCCCCACGTCTCTGCTGCAAACCACTGGAAACATACAGCACCCATAGATACACGTCTCCTTCTCATCCCCACACGTCTCTGCTGCAACCACTGAAAGATAGAGTAGCCATGGTTACACGTCTCCTTCTCATCCCCACACGTCTCTGCTGCAACCACTGAAACATACAGTAGCCATGGTTACACGTCTCCTTCTCATCCCTACACTTCTCTGCTGCAACCACTGAAACATACAGTAGCCATGGTTACACGTCTCCTTCTCATCCCCACACTTCTCTGCTGCAACCACTGAAACATACAGCAGCCATGGTTACACGTCTCCTTCTCATCCCTACACGTCTCTGCTGCAACCACTGAAACATACAGCACTCATGGTTACACGTCACCTTCTCATCCCCACACGTCTCTGCTGCAACCACTGAAACATAGAGTAGCCATGGTTACACGTCTCCTTCTCATCTCCACACTTCTCTGCTGCAACCACTGAAACATACAGCACTCATAGATACACGTCTCCTTCTCATCCCCACACTTCTCTGCTGCAACAATTGAAACATACAGCAGCCATGGTTACACGTCTCTGCTGCAACCACTGAAACATACAGTAGCCATGGTTACACGTCTCCTTCTCATCCCCACACATCTCTGCTGCAACCACTGAAACATACAGCACTCTTGGTTACACGCCTCTGCTGCAACCACTGAAACATACAGTAGCCATGGTTACAGTTCTCCTTCTCATCCCCACACATCTCTGCTGCAATCACTGAAACATACAGCACTGATAGATACACGTCTCCTTCTCATCCCCATACTTCTCTGCTGCAACCACTGAAACATAAAGCACCCATCGTTACACGTCTCCTTCTCACCACCACACGTCTCTGCTGCAACCACTGAAACACACAGCACCCATCGTTACACGTCTCCTTCTCACCACCACACGTCTCTGCTGCAACCACTGAAACATACAGCACCCATCGTTACACGTCTCCTTCTCATCCCCACACGTCTCTGCTGCAACCACTGAAACATACAGCACCCGTAGATACACGTCTCCTTCTCATCCCCACACGTCTCTGCTGCAACCACTGAAACATACAGCACCCATCGTTACACGTCTCCTTCTCATCCCCACACGTCTCTGCTGCAACCACTGAAAGATACAGTAGCCATGGTTACACGTCTCTGCTGCAACCACTGAAACATACAGCACCCATCGTTACACGTCTCCTTCTCATCCCCACACGTCTCTGCTGCAACCACTGAAACATACAGCACCCGTAGATACACGTCTCCTTCTCATCCCCACACGTCTCTGCTGCAACCACTGAAACATACAGCACCCATAGATACACGTCTCCTTCTCATCCCCACACGTCTCTGCTGCAACCACTGAAAGATAGAGTAGCCATGGTTACACGTCTCCTTCTCATCCCCACACGTCTCTGCTGCAACCACTGAAACATACAGTAGCCATGGTTACACGTCTCCTTCTCATCCCTACACTTCTCTGCTGCAACCACTGAAACATACAGTAGCCATGGTTACACGTCTCCTTCTCATCCCCACACTTCTCTGCTGCAACCACTGAAACATACAGTAGCCATGGTTACGTCTCCTTCTCATCCCTACACGTCTCTGCTGCAACCACTGAAACATACAGCACTCATGGTTACATCGTCACCTTCTCATCCCCACACGTCGCCCTGCTGCAACCACTGAAACATAGAGTAGCCATGGTTACACGTCTCCTTCTCATCTCCACACTTCTCTGCTGCAACCACTGAAACATACAGCACTCATAGATACACGTCTCCTTCTCATCCCCACACTTCTCTGCTGCAACAATTGAAACATACAGCAGCCATGGTTACGCGTCTCTGCTGCAACCACTGAAACATACAGTAGCCATGGTTACACGTCTCCTTCTCATCCCCACACATCTCTGCTGCAAACACTGAAACATAAAGTAGCCATGGTTACAGTTCTCCTTCTCATCCCCACACATCTCTGCTGCAATCACTGAAACATACAGCACTGATAGATACACGTCTCCTTCTCATCCCCATACTTCTCTGCTGCAACCACTGAAACATACAGCACTCTTGGTTACACGCCTCTGCTGCAACCACTGAAACATACAGTAGCCATGGTTACAGTTCTCCTTCTCATCCCCACACATCTCTGCTGCAATCACTGAAACATACAGCACTGATAGATACACGTCTCCTTCTCATCCCCATACTTCTCTGCTGCAACCACTGAAACATACAGCACTCATGGTTACACGTCTCCTTCTCATCCCCACACATCTCTGCTGCAATCACTGAAACATACAGCACTGATAGATACACGTCTCCTTCTCATCCCCATACTTCTCTGCTGCAACCACTGAAACATACAGCACTCATGGTTACACGTCTCCTTCTCATCCCACACTTCTCTGCTGCAACCACTGGAAACATACAGCACTGATAGATACACGTCTCCTTCTCATCCCCATACTTCTCTGCTGCAACCACTGAAACATACAGCACTCATAGATACACGTCTCCTTCTCATCCCCACACTTCTCTGCTGCAACCACTGAAACATACAGCACTGATAGATACACGTCTCCTTCTCATCCCCACACGTCTCTGCTGCAATCACTGAAACATACAGCACTCATGGTTACACGTCTCCTTCTCATCTCCACACTTCTCTGCTGCAACCACTGAAACATACAGTAGCCATCGTTACACGTCTCCTTCTCATCTCCACACTTCTCTGCTGCAACCACTGAAACATACAGTAGCCATCGTTACACGTCTCCTTCTCATCCCCATACTTCTCTGCTGCAACCACTGAAACATACAGCACTCATAGATACACGTCTCCTTCTCATCCCCACATTTCTCTGCTGCAACCACTGAAACATACAGCACTGATAGATACACGTCTCCTTCTCATCCCCATACTTCTCTACTGCAACCACTGTAATATACAGCACTCTTGGTTACACGTCTCTGCTGCAACCACTGAAACATACAGTAGCCATGGTTACACGTCTCCTACTCATCCCCACACGTCTCTGCTGCAATCACTGAAACATACAGCACTCATGGTTACACGTCTCCTTCTCATCCCCACACGTCTCTGCTGCAATCACTGAAACATACAGCACTCATGGTTACACGTCTCCTTCTCATCTCCACACTTCTCTGCTGCAACCACTGAAACATACAGTAGCCATCGTTACACGTCTCCTTCTCATCCCCACACTTCTCTGCTGCAACCACTGAAACATACAGCACTCTGCGATATCACCTACCTGCCGCGATGGACCAACATCAACGCAAGCAACCAGATAGCTGACGGCTACTACAACTTAACTGACGGCTAAGCTACGAGGTCTTCAAACCCTTGGGAGCCGAACTCAAGATGAACGACTCAAACGGCACAGTGGTGTTAACCAACAACGGAATAAACCCCTTGAGGCTCGGCCGACCATTGGCGAGGACACTCGGTATGCCGCCTGACGAGATAAAACCCACAACTACCGTCACAGGCACGAAGTTACCCGACCTAGTACCGTACCGAGAGCTGTGCATTCATCTCGGTCAGCTGAGCACAACGGACAACATTCAAGGTGATCACCCTTCCACGATACTGAGAGCCGTACCGGTGAAAACGGAGAAGTACAACGACGGCAGAACCGAGTCGTTTTCACCGCGGCAGTACAAGAGGTTAACTCGGGGCACCATCCCTGAGTTGGTAATATCGGTTTTAGATATAAAGCATAATCCTGTGAATATAGGATACCTCAGCATAACGCTGCACATAAAATGACTAGCGCACAAGGTCCCGGAATGAAGTTGAAAAAATGCGTCAATGTGGGGATCTCCGACCTCGGGGACACACGCTGATTCGACGACCTCGGAGTAGATGGTA